GGGACATAAAAGACAGAGCATGAGAAGCTTAGTGCTTCCTTCAAGTGGTCCTTACACCAGGGAAGCTAACTCCTTCATTCTTGCAGTGAGGGAAAGTGGCTACCTAAGAGCAGGCAGATCTCTGCTGGGAGGAGGCACTGAGGCAGAGATAAGCTGGTAAGCAAGTCATTTTAACAACTCTGTTGAGCAGTCTGTATCAGCAGTTGGTAATCTCTAGGCCCAAAGGCACTAAGAGCCCATGAGCATACAAAAGTATCATGGCACTCATCTTTATACTTCCAAAATCATTGTTAATAATTACAACAGTCTTCTGGATAAAATATGCATTTTTAAAAGTAGAGTTGATAAACTGATAGCCCATGGGCAAGTCAAGTTGTCCTAAAGTTTTTTTAAAAAAAAGGGGGGGGGGAGCAAAAGACTAAAAGTAGGGAGAGTTCATATATATACGAATAAGGTTTGGAAGACGTGGCAACACTGGGCATGTGTTCCACATATAATAATCATGTAAAAGCTTTTCCACAGTTATCATATTCATAGGGTTTCTCACCAGTGTGGATATCTGATGATGAATAAGGACAGAGTTCTGAATGAAATTCATTCCACATTCATCACACTTATACTATCTCTCCGTTTGGTCATTTCTGGATAGCTTTCTAGTCTTCTCTGGTATTTCTGGACTTCTCCATAATCAAAGTTCTAAGAAATACTGCCATCAAATCTGACAGTGTTTCCCTGTTATTTCTTCAGCTTTCTTCTACTTGGAAGCACCTTCTCGTTCCCATTTTGATCAAATCTTCTGAAAGAAGAGATTAAAAATTTCAGCATAATTAATTCACTCCTTCACACATACCTTACTTGATTACATGCTCATTAAATAAGCACTTATTGGAACTACACGCTGGAAGAAAGATAACAGAACAAAATGTTTCACATAAGATAGATGTGCATTAAATTTATGACTTTTTATAGAGTGCTATCATTTTAAAAACAGAGTCGTGTGTGTATGTACACATCTGCTTATATTAAAAGAATAAATAATAAAAGGATAAACCATAAAAGTAGAGAGCAAGAAAAGGTTACCTATGGGGAAGAGAGAGAATAGAAGGAGGGAACAGGTATATAACTGAAAATATCTTACTTTGTAGATTTCACATTTAAAATTTTACATTTTACATAATTAAAAAAATGAAACATTTTAAATAAAATAAAATAAAAAAGTAATCTCTAAATATTGAAGAAGAAGAAATGAAAAAAACTGAACTTAAATGTGTCCCTGTTGGTGGCATAACCAACAATGGCATAACCACAAAAAAGAGGAATTATTTCAAATGTCCTTAATATAGTAATTTTTTTGTACATCCCCAAGGAGATATACCTTAAGGAAAAAAATGAACGGGAAAACACACACATGCTACCGTTATGCTGTTTATAGTAATCATATTTGCTGATGGTAATGCTAATATTTTTATTCTAAGGCTATTGTATATATATTGTGGGATAAAGCAAATGAGTATTTGATATTCTATCATTCCTGGTGTCTTTGAGAATTCTCCTAAAGGAGATACAGATGAAAGGTAGATTAAGACCCTGAGCTACTGAATTTAAATTGGAACTATCGGTGTGAACCCATAATACATATTTTATCTTAAATATTTTCCTAGCTCTGAGCACTGAAAAGGAACAATGTCCAACTAAGCAATGAGCACTCATAGTACCCTATTTTGGGGTTTGAAATACTATTTCCCATTAAACAGAATCAAGGGTCCTTGGAAAAATGACTAATTCTAGGAGCAGGGAAGTAAAATTATAAGATGGGCCTCATACATCTTGTCATACCAGAGAGCAAGAAAGCTATTAAAGCTGACTAGGTTCATGTCATAAATTCAGGAGTCAAACTGAAGAGGCTCCTACTGCCCAAAGATGAGACAAAGGAGCTTCAAAAGGACAGTCAATATAATGGATTGAAAAATATCAAATATGTTTAAATCCATGAATTCTTAATGATATTATTACTAATAATAACACTAGCCACTGTTGTAGAGGATGACAGCAAACTAATTCATTGTTCTGAAACTGATTTAAAAAAAAAAAAAACATGGTAGGGAGGGAGTTAAGTGATTGTCTCGTCTTTCCTATACAAACCATTGGGTAACCAAATAAGAAATCAGAGGAAATATCTCTTTATATAAATATTCCAGCTTTAATTAAGTGAAGAAAGAATGACATAATATCATCATTTTGGGATCCTCTAATGGATTACTAGATGTAGGTATTGAGGATCAAAAGCTAGTAACATCACAGAAAAAGAGACAACCAGACATTATAGGCTCCTAACAGAACACCACCTTGCCAAATTAAACTTGTCTTGCCCAAAACCCTTAAATTTGATTTTGGTCAAGCCTCTAGATTTACTACAATTTATAGAAAACAGAGAGGACAACAGAAGATGTTAACTACAGCACAAGATGCAAGCAGCAAAACCCAGAGGGTGAGAAACTCCATAAGACAAACAACCTGATTTCTTTAATAAGTGAGTTGTAAGGAGGGAGAAAAGAAGGAATGGGGACCTACATATTTAAAGAAACTTAAGAGACATATCAACCAATTGCAGTGTGTTTTCTTCTTGGGGTTTCAACTCAAATAAGCTAAAAACCAAAACAAACAAAAAAGTTTATGACATCTTTAAGACAATTGGAAATTTGATATTAAGAAATTATTGTTAATTTTTTTAGGTGTGATAACAGCATTATGGTTATGTTAAAAAAATTCATGTCTTTTAGTTATGCCTCTAAGAAGTCATCTTTTAGAGCTATATAATGAAATATTTACATCTGAAAGAATATGATACCTGAGATGTAGTTGAAAATTATATGGAGGGGCCAGCCCGGTGGCGCAGCCATTAAGTGCGCGCGCTCTGCTTTGGCGCCCCAGGGTTCGCAGGTTCAGACCCCAGGCGCATACTGACGCACCACTCGTCAAGCCATGCTGTGGCGGCGTCCAATATAAAGTAGAGGAAGATGGGCACGGATGTTAGCCCACGCTCAATCTTCCTCAGCAACAAGAGGAGGATTGGCAATGGATGTTAGCTCAGAGCCAGTCTTCCTCAAACACACACACACAAAAATTATATGGAAAAAATAATATGGGAAATGAGTAGGATTATGAATAAGACTGGCCATGGGGCCGGCCCCGTGGCTTAGCGGTTAAGTGCCCGCGCTCTGCTGCTGGCGGCCCAGGTTTGGATCCCAGGCGCGCACGGAGGCACCGCTTCTCCGGCCATGCTGAAGCCACGTCCCACATACAGCGACTAGAAGGATGTGCAGCTGTGACATATAACTATCTACCGGGGCTTTGGGGGGAAAAATAAATAAATAAATAAAATTATAAAAAAAAAAAAAAAAAAAAGACTGGCCATGATTTGACAATGTTGAAGCTAGGTGACAGGTTCATTGAGATTCACTATTCAATTCTATTTTTATATGGGATTATATTTTTTCATAATAAAAAGTAAAGAAAAAAGAGTTTATGTATTTTAGTTGGTAGTATTTAAAAAAAAAAAGAATCAATTTAAAAGCCCTCTAGGGCTAGTTAAAAAATAATTTGATACTCATACAGTGAAATGTATGTCAGCGATATGTATGTATTACACGTAATTCTCTTGGAAAGATGTCCATAATGTAATATTAAATATAAAAATAGTGGCATTTGATATGTATAGTATAATTACATTTGGGTATGAATGTGTGCTTTTCCAATAACCACACACTTACTAAATAAAGTTTTGTTTCCCACACTCATTTTTTAAAAATGTACATTTTAAAATTTCTCTATTGTATGTAACCTTGAGTAGTTTTCTATTGGCTTCAATGTAGAAAAATGTTCTCCTGCCTTTGGGATAAGAGGTCTGGGTCAGGGAAGTTGGCAGTATTAAGTTAGAATGGAGAAACCATGTGATATGAAATAGCAGAATTTTTCAACAATTTTAATGCAAAGAAGTAAAGGAAGAAAAGAATCATAATCGAGGTTAAAACAATATGCTTAAAGGAATAGGTTAAAAGTGGAACAGGCATCAGAGATCAAGTAAAAGGTAAGCAAAGATTTTAGTGATGAGGTTCACTTGGAAAACGCAAAAAAACACCCGCATTTCCTATCTTTTCGAAAACCTAGTGGAATTTCCTCCTCACTTTCTCCAGAGAAAGCTTCCAAGATTCAGAGTTGAGCTGACCCTTTACTGGCTGGAGCTGGACCCCAGGTGAGTCCTCTGCTGCTGCCAGATAAACTATTTGCCCTTGGGGCACTTCCTGTCCCTGTAGGAGGGCTACGACCTGGGGACAATTAGATACAGTTTAACCAGGGTAATATTTGCTGAGGGTTCTAAGCTTAAGATCCCAATATTAATGTGGAACACAGGACAGGAGGGCAGAAAGCAGTTTCCCTTAATCTGCAAGGACAGGGGATAAAAGGACAGAGAGGAAAATACACAGGGGAACATAACTCTCCAACACACATTAGCCATTTTCCTTTCATTGCACTTGAGAGAAGATCTCAACTCTCTTCTCTCTCTCTGAAGATAATACCTGCTTTATGATAATAGATCATTTCTTCCTTATCTCACCTTTCCTTTTGGATTCTCCAGCTTCCTCTCCAAGGGCCTCCAGTACAGTAACAGCTTCCCTCCTATACTCTGGGCTGCTCCTGCACTCAAGCCTGGAGCTCTGGGCAGGATGGTCAGGAACTGCTCCAATACCAGCAGATCCAAGATGTGTTCCTTGCTGTCTATCTCTGGTCTCAGCCACTGATGGCAAAGAGACTGGAGCTGGACTCTTGAGGCCCAAAAGAATCCTCCTAGCTTTGTCTGAAGAACTCCTGGCCAGAAGACCCAGTTCTATGCAGGCTAAATTCTTTAACTATTTGACATTCCTTCTGTTCTTCTGCAGCCCAAAAGCACTGGGCTGAATCCATTCCTGTGTGAAACAGCTCAGAAAATTGGCTCACCGCAGCAGTAGGAATGCTTCACGCTGGTGCCAAGGCATAACCCATTGTTGTTCACAGAGATCAACTCCAAACTAAGAACACATTTACTTGGAGCGAATGGCTGTGATCAAGGCAATGATCTGAAGGTAAAGAAACTCTGTAAAAGATAAAACAAGCAAAAAATGGCATAAGAATAATGGCATAAAATTAACTAAATGACAATTCAGTTACTTTGGGATTAAAGCTTTAGAAGACTATTAGCTTTTAGATCTACAAACTTCAGTGAAATACTCAGATAACGTGAAATATTCAGATAATGAAGAAAAACAATGCAAACAGCTTTGCCTGCTTATATTGCATGTCAGAGATTTAGTCAATTAACATTTATAAATCAACCTCTCTATGCCAAGATTTGCACTAGATGCTTTCAAAGGCGTTTTTGGTGTTAGAAAAGAATAGTGTGCATGGTAGTCGAGGAGTCCCACATTTGAGTCATGGGTCCCAAGTCAACTAACCCAAGCCCCCTTGGTGCACAAACCCAGTGCGTATTATTCAGTCCTTTTCTTACCAGATGCCCCTACAGCACCTAACACTGCTAAGCACTCCCTGTCTTCTAACGAACACTACACTCCTCTGGCTGTTTTTCCATGAGTCAGTTTTTGAAAAGTGCTTAGACCAAATAAATATATGTCTCGGGGCTGGCCTTGTGGCCTAGCGGGTTAAGTGCGCGCACTCCGCTGCTGCCGCCTGAGGGTTCGCAAGTTCGGATCCCCAGTGAGCATCGATGCACCACTTGTCAAGCCATGCTGTGGTGGCGTTCCATATAAAGCAGAGGAAGATGGGCACGGATGTTAGCCCAGGGCCAATCTTCCTCAGCAAAAAGAGGAGGATTGGCATTGGATGTTAGCTTGGGGCTGATCTTCCTCACATACACATACTAACTAACTAACTAACTGAAAAATAAATAAATGTCTCTAATGGCTCCTTCTTACATCTACTTGATGGTTCTTCTTCTGCCTGCCAAGAAATGGTCTGGTTACCCTAACTTGAGATTCAGCCTTCTCATTCCACATTGATTCTCGGCAATCTCATCCATTCTATAGCATCAGTTGTCACCTGAGAACTCCTAAATCTGATCCCCATCTTCCTTATCTCTTATCTCAATCTTGCTTTGGAGCTCCAGACCATTATAATCCAATGGTATATTAGACCCTTCCACTTATATGTCTTACGATCATCTTCTACTCAACACCACCGAAAATTAACTCATCATTTCCCCCTCATAACCAATGCCTCTTCCAACCAATATTACCCATTTCTTTTAAAATGGTACCACAGGGGCCGGCTCCGTGGCTTAGTGGTTAAGTGCGCGCACGCTGATGCTGGCGGCCCGGGTTCGGATCCCGGGCACGCCCCAAGGCACCACTTCTCCGTTCAACCCGAGGCCGAGTCCCACGTACTGCAACTAGAAGGATGTGAACCTATGACATACAACTATCTACTGGGGCTTTGGGGGGAAAAAAATGAATAAATAAAATCTTTAAAAAAAAAAAAATAAAAAAAAAAAAAATAAATAAAATGGTACCACATTCACCTAATCACCCAATCCAAAGCTTGCCTAATTATCCCTGACTACATTTATTAAACAACAAAAAACACTTATGTAGTACTTAGTATGTGCCAGGCATTGCACTCAGCACTTTTTTTTTTTTTTTATATCTTTCTTCCTTTCATCCATCTAATTAGTCATCAAGTCTAGTTAAATCTACCCTTTTAACATAGTTCCATTCCATCCCCTCTTCATTTCCATAGCCACAGCCTTACTTTCACCAGCTTACAGTATTGGTTCTTTCTTTGACAACTACAAGTCTCTTGTCTCTCTTGCTTCCAGTCTTGCCCCCTTCCAATTCATTCACCACAGTGCTTTTTGAATACTTCTAGAAGGCTAGTAAGATTATGTTACTCCCCTGCTTAAATCCAGACAGAGACTCTCTGCTCTGTAGAGTATACCTTCCTGTCTTCTGTGCAATGCCACAGTTCACTGGGTGCCTCAAATGACTTACAGCAGTCCCAGAATATTGATCTCCTCAGCTCCTGAAGTGGCTAGGCAGATCTGGGATAGCCAAAGCCCTTGGCCTGGTCTCTTCTGCAAAGCAGCATACACACATTTTGTCTTTGAGCCATTACATTAAAAAGATGAGGAAGCACACTTGCCCTATAAAGTCTAAATTCCTTGCCATATCCCAATTACTAACTACTTTTCCTCTTTGCCCCAGCTCCACTACACCTACCTTCATCTACTTGTAGTTTTCCAAAATGTCACATACTGTACCTATCCCCCAAGGTCCATTTCCTCTTTGCTAACCAATTTCTGTTAGTTGACAAACGCAGCTCTGCTATTGCCAACTCAGGGAGGTTATCTTTAACTCTCCACTCCCCACCTCAAAGGCCCTTCTATGTATGACGTTATTTTCCTCAAGGCACTTATCACATTATATGGTAATTGTTTATCGATCTTTCTCATGACACTCTAAGATAGAGAATGCCTTTTTTATCTGGTTTATTCACATTTTTATGAGAGAGCCTGGCACATATTTGGCACTCAATAAATGTTTGCTTGATGAATGTGCTAACTTCTGAATCAGTTTTCCTAGCCATAGAAATTCACGCAGCACTTCCCTTTGTTTTGCAAAAACGTGAGGATCACTTGATGGTAAAGCACTTTTTAAAAGTACTAAGCCTTTATAGAACAAGTATGCAATATCATGACCATTATTATAGGGGATTTTAACTAAAAACTGAAAAACTGCTCAGGTAAAACGGCCGTAGAACTCAGGAAAGGTGTAAAAAAATCACCTTTTAGCCTTAAGGATCCGTCCGCTGACGGACCCCGGTAAATCTGTGTCCCCATCTGAGAAGCGAATGGTCCGCACAGACCCAGCTCTGTATAACACTTGTGTCCAGTTCCCTGCATCTCCAAAACGTCCGGAAGCGCCGACACGGAAAAGGGAATCGGATCCTGAGGGATCTATGTAAGAGAGAGAAATCCGAGGCAGGCCTGCGAAAAGGGGGAAACACCTCCAAGTCGCGAAATTTCTGCGGAGGTATAGAGCATACTGCCTGCGGAAAGACAGCCAGACAGCCAGACAGACAGCCAGACAGCCAGACAGCCAGCCAGCTTCCCACCCACACCCACTCAGTATGTATATAAGGGGTACTGAGGGTAAGAGAAGACTTGCGCCACAGCTCGCACCAGAGACCGGAAATACGTCACAAGCTCGACCGCGTCTAGGCCGGCTCCTCAGCCGCCTCTCTAGGACACTTGGCGGACCCGTCATCTCAGTGGTTGGTCTGCGCCCACCACCTGACCAGCCTTCGAGTGGTGAGAGGCTTCCATCGAACAGCTTAGGCAGGCAGGTCCACCAGAGCTCGTAATCTCTGGTGTCCAGCAGCCCCTCAGTCTGAGCTAATCTCTCTCTACCCCGCTGAGGACACCTGGCCGCTCTTACTGGATCCTGCGGAGCCCTACGTTCCCTCGTCCTGCGAGGCCCCAGCCCTCAGGGCCCCTGTCCCGTAGCGTCCCTTAAGATACCGACTGTCCAGTTACCTTCACTCTGGCCCCAGGGTAAGCAACAGTGATCTACACCCACCTGAGGAGAGCAGCAACAAGAGGGGCAGGTGTTGGCTTGCTCTCCCCTGTTTTAAATCTTTGTTTAAACAACTCAGGTCCCTCTGAGTAACCTAACTACTAGCAAGTTTGGGGTTTATAGATCCCTAACTGTGCTGAATTAGCAGAAAGCTGAGAGACAGCAGTGGTAGTGATGGGAGGTCACCCCAACACACACACCACCCGACTCTGAACGATCTTGAGGCAACAGTGGAATACGGAGGCAGGGTCAGTTGTAGCAATCTTTGGTACCTTGTGGTGGTAAGAGGGCTCTGGCTCCACAGCCAATGAATTGTGTGCATTAAATGTAATAATTAATGAAACTATTTGGCACAATGTCTGGCCCCCATGCATCCTAGGTACTTGCTTAAAATGGCTCACCCTCTGCCTTATCCCTACAAGCTTCTGACCCAGTGCCCTATCTTTCCACTTTTCCTCTACAAGTTAAGGCCGAACACCCTATACAACTCCATCGGTCCTTATACCACTGAAATGCTCCTGAGTTTCCAAGACGTCCTCCATCTTGTCTGGTAAACCATTCTTGCAATAGGTTCATCTTAGGTAACTAGATATTTTAACATTGGGTTTTTTTTTTGGGGGGGGGTGTCTCTTTGTTGGTTTTGTTTTTTGTAGATGTCCCACCCTTTCTTACTTGATAGATCTGTTAATGGGGATTATTATAAACCAGGCAGGTGGTGGCTACCTTGGTCTAGGTGCCTACACCTAAATCTCCAACAGCCTCCTTCATGTATGTTCTGCCTAGCTTTCATGAGAGAACACTGTATTCTTTCTGATTCTCTGTCTCATCTTCTATCCCCTCAGCTGGAAGAGTCATGAGTAGGGAGACCATACATCCTGATTTATCCCTATTGTCTGGGTGTAATTACTAACAGCACTCCGTTTCAGTCTCAAAAGTGTCCCAGATTGGGGAATAAATTATATAGTTACCTATAGTCTGAGAACCACTAATATGTTAGCTAAAATACAGATTCCCAGGCCCTGCCCTCAGAAACTGATTCAGTTAGTCTGGGGCCCAGGAAACTGTGCTTCAGACAAACAGCCCAGGTGATTCTGACAGAGGTATACATTGTGAAACAGTGGTTTCATCATAAGCTGAGGCAGTTGGCATGGAAAACTAGGTGTGGGTCCCAAGAGACCTAAAAAAAAAAGTCACACAGTGATTTATAGACAGTGATTTTCTCCCTATTCTCCTTTTTATGGAAAGTACTAAAACAAGTTAGGACTAAAGAGTAGTGAGATTATTTTCACTGCTTAAGACATCTGTACCTAAGACAGTCGGACCAACTGAGAGACAGATTTCTAATAAGTATTAGAAGATGAAGCACATTTCTTGGTAACACTATTTCTGCACCTATCTTTTTATTTTTCCCTCTCTTTGGTCACCATTTGTTGGACTAATCCAGAGCTCTAGCATCTAATTTTACCTTCTGTCTGATTCTTTTTTATGTTCTCACATTTTGTTCTTCCATCCCATTTTGTTGTCATTGTATGTAGATGCCTGGTACGTGTCTCAGGGCTCCAAGTCTAAGTGTCTATGAAACTACATATAATTCACAATGATTTTTGCTCATACTTTTGGTTTTAAAATTTTTAATGTGATTAAACAATAGAAAGATCACTACAAATGCTTAACCATTTGGGCTTCACTTTTCTCGTGAAGGTATAAAATGGGCTAAACTCCAAAATCTCTTTTTAAAGCTAATACTGTCTGATTCTACGTTAAAAAGCTCCTATAGCATAACAAAATACTTTCACTGATTTCACACTGATTACCAAACAAAGACTAAACTCATTAAGAGAGTGTTCACGGCCCTCTCAATCCGACGCCCACCTACCACCTTCCACTCCTAGGAACTCCATGATCCAGCCAAACTGGAAAACTCCTGGCTCTTGAGTATATTTTAGATGGGCCTTGCCTCACTCTGTTCTCTCTGCCTAGAACACTTTCCTCTATCCTCCATCTCCCTCTGCAGAAAATCTACTTTTCTCTCAATTACTAACTCAACATTTAACCAATGACACATGTATACTGGTATATATTTTATATTTCAAAATTCCTCCACAGAAAATATTTCATATTTTATAATAATTTTGACTTTACATATACTTTTATATTAAAATCACCTCAGAGATAATTTTTGTCTTATTGGAAAAATATAAAACAATTTTCCACTGTAAATTATAATTACTTTTTAAAGGGCAAGTATTGTCAGATATAGAAAATACGAGTCATTTCCAAATACAAAATATGGACAGAGACTTGATTCTCCTGGAGTCCTGACCTTCAAATCAAATTACAGTGAAAGAGTGTCTTCAAGGCTCTATCTACAGCTCTAGGCAGGTTTTGGTTGCAAGATGCTGAGCCATTTCTTGATGTACAGTGTCCACTCTCCTAACGGTGCTAAAAGGGGTGCTGGACTATCCTCAACAACCAATAAGGTTATTTAATTGGATTTGAATCAATATTTCTTACACCTTGCTCAACCATAAAACACTGACTATTCTGCTCTTTCAGATTGGACTCTTCAAGGGGATAAGGACTTGTCTAGGAACACCTGAAAGGAGATCAAGGCCAGAGACTTCATGGGTTGAATAAAGGAGCCAAGGTGGAAAAAGAGAAGAGAGGAGTGAGAGAAAGTTAGAAATGTGAAAGAGAGACAGCTAAGGATTTCTGGCTGGGAAGACTAGAATAATCACAGAAGCAGCAAAGGTCTACATGCCATTGTCTATAAGTCGTCAACTATTATTTTTCAACTAATGAGCAATGTGCATCCTAGATAAAAGAATTAGCACAATTAGTATCAGAAAACAAGAAAAGTTAGTTTGGTGAACTGTCAGTCATTTTAATCATGTTAACCATCATTACATTCTAATGGTACATCTGTCTCTACAATACATATAATGCCTTTTATATCTTTATGTTTTATCAGTTGTTGAGAAAAATGAGAATTTTTGAGACGCTGTAAAAAAAAATAAGCACAAAACAAACATCCAACCTTCAATTGCAGGTATAAAAACTCAGTCCGTTAGAAATACATCCTTTAAAATCCTGATCTGTTCATATTTTAAATCTTTTAAGAGCTGATATAATGGAATTATCCAAACATGCTGCTTAAGCATATGGAGAGGCATGTAAGATACTTATGAACTCAGATTATGACAGTATATATATTATATAACTATATGGAATATATATTTACTTGAGAGTTGATTTTATTTCAAATTTGTCTACTACATTTTCTTTAACATCACTCTAAAATCCATATGTATTTCTCTCGGAAATAACCTCAAGACACAATAAAATATACTCTTGAGGAAATTTAAGATTGTTGATAATACCTACAATTAGCCACAGTAGTGACACAAATAGTTTGAAACATTAGGTCTAAGAATATATAATAGAACCAAATACATGAAACTGAAAAACAACACCCTTCACTTTTCCATTTCTCTATAGAAGAATTATGTGCAATTCTATTTGCCTAAACCCTGTTTCCTAGCTCATGTGGAAGTTGTTAGCTTTTAAATAGAACAAGCTTGACTTGGACTAAATTGGGGAGAAGAATGAAACACAATATATAACATATTAAAATAGTGATTTTTCATCTGTAGGAGTACGTTAAACTATGGAGCACCAAGAAATGAAATATTATCCACTTGTAAACAGAATGAGGAAACTCTGTTATGATATAGAAATCTCTAAAGATTATACTGTTTCATGAAAACAGCAAGGTGTAGAAGAGTGTAAATAGTATGCCATCTTTCTGTGTAATGGAGGAATTAAGATTATATAGTCATATTTTCTTTTATTTACATAAAGAAACACTGAAAGATACATAAGAAACTAGTAAAATGGCTATCTGTAAGAGGAAAGATAGGAATCTTTCTTTATGTTGTTTTGAATTATCTTCTTTAAAAAGTTCCTCTAAGTAAATTAAATTTTAAAAGTTAAAAATAAATGAGCACTACAAAAATAAATAAAATGCCTCAAATGAAGGAGAAGTGGGAGGAGTCTTTCCTGGAACTCCACTGTAAATTAAATGGAGGAGTTTTGCATTTACTGAAACATATAGATGGGAGGGTTTGTTGATCTAAAAAGTCAAACCTCAATGACTTATAAATCCTGTAAGTTGCATATACTTGTAATTTCTATTTAGTGATATAATGTGTCCAGTGGCTTAGTAGAAAGCCCATTGCACTAGGAATGAGACAGGATTCTAGTTCCAGCTCTATTAACTAGCTGTATGATCTTACACGGTTACTCCCCAGAGCTCTGTTGCCCTATGTGTCAAATAAGAATGTGCAGGGTGATCTCTGAGGTCTCTTACACTGTTTCTGTCAATCTTAAGTTACTTGCTGTATATTTGGTATTCCAGTCCAGATTATCATCACCATAGATTTTCCATTTCTTTGTCTCCTGGGCTTAGAATAAAGCCTGGTAAACATTCACTCAATCAATGTCAAGGGAAAGAAATTTTTGTATTTATGACCTTGGTGGTAATCACTAGGTAATGCTGAGAAGTGTGGAGGTTATAAAAGCAATCAACATGGAAGATTGATCAGACTTTTCTCTCTACTTTTGTGTATGTTTGAAATTTTCCTTAACAAAAGGTTAAATAAGAAAAAAAGCAAAAACCGAAATGTCACAGGAAAAATGCAAAGAGGCCTACATTTTTATAACAAAGATCTGAAGGGAGATACCAGATTTTTAGCTAAATTTCTTGGTCTTTGCACAAAATTCATGAGCAATATCTGTTATGACTAGCCTCTGAGCTACCAGTAACATTTGGTTGCTTCCATTCCTTGGTTCCTAACTGAAGGCTGAGTTACTAAAACTCTATAAGGAGAAGCCTTTTGTACATTTATGGGAGGATTCATCTGCCCCCTTTTGTAGGTTAAAAAGCAAATTATCGTATCTTATGAGAAAGGAAAATAGTCAAGTAGTTTACATTACAGATTTTACTGCAATTATTTTTAAATCAATTTTTAAATACTCAGTGAACTACCTTTGACATTATTTTGTATTCAGGCTGCATACAATTTTCTAAAACTTTTTAAAAAAGTTTTTAAAAACTAGAATGAAGTTTTCCTGAAGTATACCTACAAAACTTTTGCACAGGTGTCTGTGAGACTATGTCGATGAAATCGACACAACAATATTCAGTATTGCAAAGTCGTGGATGTCACTGACCACAGAGAACTCAACAGATGTATTTAAGATATTATTATGTTTCTCTCAGCATAAAAATAAGGACATTTTCACTGGCTTTCCTTGGAGCTTCCTATACTAGAGGATTAAACTATTTTTCTTCTTCCAGGGACAAAGTAAGAACCAGGACCATTGCTATTTTGCCTAGTGGTTGACGGCAGGAAATTTTGCCCTACCTGTTCCAAGGAGCTAGCTGGATTCAGCCACAGCGTGGACTTTCCGATGCTGGATGAGGTTGCAATGGTAAATGAAGTTCTTGCCACATTCTTCACATTCATAAGGTCTTTCTCCAGTGTGAATTCTCTGATGCTTAATGAGGACAGAACGTCGACTAAAGCTCTTACTGCACTGATTGCACTGGTAAGGTTTTTCCCCAGTGTGGATCCTGAGGTGATGGAACAGCCCGGCATTCTGGCTGAAGGCTTTACCACAAACGCCGCACTGGTAGCGCTTCTCCCCAGTGTGGAGTCTCTGGTGCTGGAACAGGCCTGACCGCTGGCTGAAGGCCCGCCCACACTCCTCACACTCATAGGGCTTCTCGCCTGTGTGCGTTCTCTGGTGCTCGATAAGGATGGAATTCTGGGTGAAGCTTTTTCCACATTCACCACAGATATAGGGTCTCTCCACCGAAGAGCTTACCCGTTGCCTTTCCAATCTGCCCTCATGGTCACATTCAGGCATCTGAATAATGTCACCATTCAGTTTTCCAGGTACTTCCACAAGAGATTTAATTTTTTCAGAAAGCTCCCTCTTTGAGGCTAACTCCACATTCCAAGTCCCAGCCTTATTATCTGAAATAATAAAAGGATCACAGGAATATATATTTCCAAAGATAAAAGACAAAAAGTGGCCAAGAGAGTGGGTGGAAGGGGATAAGTAACCACATTTTCTGTGTACTTTCCCACTATAAACAAGAATGCCTGGACCTCAGGGAGAAGATGCACTGTATTGTACCTGCTTGTTTACTGTCTGCCTCTCCTCTCCCACCAGACTGTAAACTTCCTGAGGGAAGGGACCATGTCTACCTTGCTCATCACTGTATCCCTAGTACCAAGCACAGTGCCTGGCACACAGCAGACACTAAATAAATTATTGAATTGATGAACATTCAGGGAATGACATAGGCTTCCTGAGGAAATCCTAATCCTCACCAATCTCCTGAACCGGGCACACGTCTTGGAAGTTACACTGATGCTGTTCTTCTGAGGTTTGGAGCTGGCCACTTGATGACTCCTGGGCTGCTCCTGGAGTTGCTTTCTCCTTCATAAGCTCTTCCTGTTCATAATCATGGGCTGGGACCTGGTGGAAATTAAGAACAGTTGGGAACCAAATATCAGAGAAGACATTACAAGGGCTTTCTCAGGGCCACTGGATAGGAAAAGAAGGACCAAGAAGCTGGCAAAGAAAAAAAAAAGGCAGAGAGATTAAGAGCCTCCTACAGATCAAGTCAGGCATAAAGAAATCCTCCTTCTCCTCCTCTTCCTCTTGTGGCACTCAAACCCCATACTTGATCATACAGGTACAAATCCCTGTTCTCCCATCTTCCCACCTGCTCTCCTGGTTCATCCAGCTCTCTCTCCAAATTCTCCAGCACAGTTACCACCTCCTCTCCACTCACTGGGCGGTGCTCTCTCACCCAGGCCTGGAGCTCCTCGGGCAGGATGGTCAGGAACTGCTCCAGCACCAGCAGCTCCAGGATCTGCTCTTTGGTGTGCACCTCTGGTCTCAGCCACTGATGGCAGAGCTCCTGGAGTCTTCGAAGAGCCTCTCGGGGCCCAGGTGTCTCCTGATAGCAGAACTGCCTGAAGCGTCTACGAAAGATCTCTCTGGTATGAGGGTTGTTATCTCTTGATAGGCCAGACTCTTGCCCACAGGCATAGTCCCTCTCTTCCTTTTTTACTTTCACTGCCATAAGTACCTCTTGCATCTCTGGAGTCTGAAGGGCCAAGGCTGTGGCCATTTAAGGCTTAACTATTCAAAAAAAGAATCTATTCTTGATAATTCCCCCTTGATCTGTTCTTCTGGAAATCCCAAAACCTAAAAAATAATTTGCAGAGAAAAAAATATTAAAATGAGAAAATATTTTCTGTTGGCAGGCACTGGGAGTATTTATACCAAAATCAATCACTTTGTCTAATGAGAAACATGAATGCATGATTAATGATAAGGACCACGCAAATACTTATGCAGATAATATAGGAATGAAAACAAAAACAAAACAAACCCACCCACCCCCTGAAAGTTTTATTGAAGGAAGGGACCATTTGATCATCCCCAATGAATCCACTCAAATAAATCAGCTTGAATATACTGGGTTTCCAACTGAATGGCAAGATACTGGACTCAGAGTAAGTTTTTAGTTGAATGGAGGTAAACAAGCACTTTGGGCCCAAGTGGTCACAGATGACACTAAGAGTCAAGGAGAAAAGGGAAAGAAAATAGAGGAGGGAGGGAAAGTAAAGAAGATAAAAAGACAGAATGAGGAGCAAAAGAAATGTATTTGGAGGAGAGGCAGAGTCCCTCCAGTCAGGTGAAGTGTGGAAGAAAGAGATCTATGTTTGGAGTGGAGAAGATCTGGTCTTACGACTGATCCTCCAGGTACTCCCTGCATAGTCTTGGGCTTCAGATTTTGAGCCTTAGTTTACTCAATCTGTAAAATAGGAATCCTAAAACCAACCTTGCCTATCTTTCTAGGTTGATATAGAGATAAAATAAGACCATGGATAAAGAGCACAAAGAAGGTGGCAGCTTGGTAAACTCTAAAGTATTATAAATTACCACCATTGTTATTTTTCTTATAAATTTTATTGAAAGATTAAATGAATATCCTAGTGATCTAAACACTGCGGCAAACAAAATCAGAAAGTAGTCACCTAGAGTGGTCTTGGCTCAGAGATATTAAAGTGAAGGAAATATTAGTTCTAATATTTTAAAACAGGGGTACAGTTTGAGCTCTTTTTTGCCCTTTAATTTCTTGGAAAGTGTTTCTCTTTGAAGCTCCTTGAGGATGAAGACTGGGCAACTGTATGTAAAATGAGTGCTAATAAAGAGACAAATGTTTATGACCACTTAAAGCTTATGAACAATCTTAACCAGGATAGTAATTAATGAGGGCAATTTTCTAAAAGAAAAATAATTATGTGACCTAGTGATTTCCAAACACCATTTTTGGGCAGAGGCTTTCAAACTTTTTTGACCAGGACTCTGAGTAAGAAATTTTTTATATTGTGACCCAGAACACACATACATGTGCATATGAATGTTTGTGCATGTGTGAGATACACACCCACTCACACACAAATAACTGAATAATTTTACAAAATACTGTGTATCCTTACCTTATGAGATATACATATATTTTCTTTTGAGGAAGATTAGCCCTGAGCTAACATCTGTTGCCAATCCTTCTCTTTTTTGCTGAGGAAGATTGGCCCTGGGCTAACATCTGTGCCCATCTTTCTCTACTTTATATGGGATGCTGCCACAGCATGGCTTGATAAGCGGTGCATAGGTCTGTACCCAGGATCCGGGCCTGTGAACCCCAGGCCACTGAAGCCGAGTGTGCGAACTTAACCACTATGCCACCGGGCCGGCCTGTATGTTATTATTTTTATTTTTTATTTTTTTGTGAGTAAGATCAGCCCTGAGCTAACATCCATGCCAATCCTCCTCTTTTTTTGCTGAGGAAGACTGGCCCTGGGCTAACATCCATGCCCATTTTCCTCCACTTTATATGGGACACCGCCACAGCATGGCCTGACAAGCGGTGCATCAGTGCACACCTGGGATCCAAACCGGGGCCGCTAGCAGTGGAGCGCGAGCACTTAACGGCTATGCCACGGGGCCGGCCCCTATCTTATTATTTTTTAAATCCTATTTCATAAAAAAACAAACAAACCCTGGTCACTGCCCATTACATAGATTTCATGACCCATATATGGGTCATGACCTATAGTTTAAAAATGTTTTTGTTTTGATTTTAAGTAAAATTATTGTTAATTCACTGTAAAAATAACTCTACACTGTTTTTAGGTATTGGCATGCATTGCAAAATTTAAAAAACTAAGGATAAGGTATTTACATTACAAGTGGACACTGATCACACTACAACTAAAAGAAAAGTTATTAAACTCATATTGCCATTATTGGTTATAGTTATCAAAGAGAAAAAAACCACTGGTGTGGGATAGCATCCTTCTGGATAACCTGCAAACATAATCCTCTTAACAAATTTCTAACGTCTTGGGCTTAGTTGACTTCTATAGACCACCCCAGGAAGAGTGGAGAGAGTTTTTACTCAAAAGACAGGATCCCTGAGTTTGTGTTTTTCCCCCAAGTTTTCTTGGTGCTGACTCACCACCACTGTGACCACCACATTATCTTTTTCTGTCAAAACTTTTCATACACCACTCACTCATTCAGCAAATATTTATTCAGAGCCTACTATATTCCGGGTACTGTTCTAGGCACTGGGGACAAGCTACAAACGAAAGAAAGTCCCTAGTCTGATGGAATTTACATTCTAATAACAATATTAATAATAACTGACATTTAAAGTGCTTTTAATATACCAGACACTGTTCTAGATGCTTTACATACATTAATTCATTTAATCTTCAAAACAACTATGAGTAAGGTACTATTATTACCCCCATATTACAGATGAGAAAACTGAGATACAAAGAGTTTAAGTCATTTGCCCAGGGTTTCATAGGTAGCAAGTGGTGAAGCTGCAATTCAAACCCAGGAAATCTAACTTCAGAATTCATAGTCTCGGGCTGGCCCTGTGGCGTAGCGGTTAAGTGCTCGCACTCCGCTGCTGGCGGCCTGGGTTCAGATCCCGGGCGTGCACTGAGGCGCTGCCTGTCAGGCCATGCTGTGGCGGCGTCCCGTATAAAGCAGAGGAAGATGGACACAGATGTTAGCTCAGGGCTAGTCTTCCTCAGGAAAAAGAGGAGGATTGGCATAGATGTTAGCTCGAAGCTGATCTTCCTCACCAAAAAAAAAAAAAAAAAAAAGAATTCATAGTCTCAACCACTATACCACTATCTCTCCTCTATGTGGGGGGAAGAAGGGGACAAGATAAAGAAAGGGGGCCATAAGGGACAGACAGTAAATATATGTCAAATGGTGATAAGTGCTATAGAGAAAAATAAAGGTACAGGAGATAGGGAGTAAGGGGGAAGAGAGGTTTCTATTTTATGTGGGGTAGTCAGGGAAGGCCTTGTTGATAAGGTGATATTTGAGCAGAGACATGAAGGAATTGAGGAGCAAGTCACATGACTATCTGGAGAAAGACTATTCCATGCAAAGGGAACATTGAGTGCCTGGAGGCAGGAGCATGCCTGGATCCTTCAAGAACAGCTAGTTGAACAACATGGCTGGAACAGAGAAAGCAAAAGGGACGGTAACAGGAGATGAAGTCAGGGTGGGAAGAGATTATGAAAAGCCATCGTAAGGGCTCTGCCTTGTACTCAAGAGATGTGGGAAGCCATCAGAGGTTTTTAGCAGGGGGTAACAAAATTTTACATTTCATATAAAATCATAACTGGCTGCTGTGACAATAGATCATGGGGAAAAGTAGAAGCAGGCAGGGAAGCTGTGGCAATCTAGGGGAGAAATGATGGTGGCTTGAACTACGGTCTGCTGAGTTCATTCTACGGTGAGAAAGTTTTGGGGTACAGATATCAAAAAGGTAAATTAAGAATATGTGCTCTCACGTTACTCAGTTAACCTAGCATGGGTTCAAAGGATTAAACAACCACTCACGCTCTCTTGTTTTCTTAACCTTCTAGGCCCCTGAAAAATGTCTTTTTCCTATTTGATGCCCACCCACCTTGGTTTCAAGTCAAAGTTTTTCTTTTCACAGACACAACAGCTGAAGCTTTGAGTTCTGCCCACAGAAAATCATTTCTGGTATGTGGTATTTCAGATCTTTACCCAGTTTCACTGACATCAATTCCCCTCTATTCTCCATATATCCTAGGTTCCCTTTTGCTTTCCCTCTCTTGATTTTGCTTTTATCTGGTGGCCTGAATACCCAGGTCTTCACACCAGCACAACTTAGTTCTTCTTTGAACCCAGCGTCTCTAAAAGGCTTCCCAAGTTTTTTATAATCCTGCTCTCCTGGTCACAAGCATAGTTATTAATCTCCCCCATTGTATATGCCAGGTATATAATTAGCATAATAATCTCTCTCACCTTAAAGAAATACATCTGCATTTTAAAGCTGGTTTCTCCTAGAGCATCGGCATGCTCAACACCCCTAAATCTACCATCATTCTCTTGGAAGGATGCTCTTTACCAAGGATATGCATGTAGGTGAAGACTAAGCAGCACACCATGCAAATGTGCCTTTATCATAATACATCCCCCGACTCTCACCCCTGCTGTTACCATCTATGGCTCCCCACTACTTATTGGATGAATTCCCAAACTCTCAAGCCAATCAGACCTCTAGCTTCCATTGTCTGATCCCATTCTTGCTTTCTTCTATTTCACATGCAAAAACTGCCAGATCCACCTAGGCTTTTCTTCTCACTACTTTTTAATCAGGCTTTTCTCATTCCTGTTCCATGTCCTTGGTTGCCTTCTGCACTTATTCAAACCCTACCCAATCTCTGCAGCTTGATTCTCTTCTCACGTCCCCTGTGAAGTCTTCCTCATCCACTCCAGTCCACCCTCTTCCTCCTTCCAGCTCTTATATCATGAGCCCCAACTTTTACTCTCAGCCACACTCTATCTTGCAGTTACTTCTCTCCTTTTAAAAAAAATCCAAAAAGTACAGAAGAATATAGAATTCCCTCACCAAGTTCCACTCCTCAGAAACAGACACTGTCAAAGATTGGAATGTATCCTTTCAGACATTGTCTATGCATCTGCAATCTCACACACACATACATACACACACACACACACACACACACAGACATGACAGAGCCAATATTTTTGCTATTTATCTGAGACAAGTAGAAAGTAGCACAAGGTAGCAGAGAACATAAGCAGATCTGGGTGGGAAATGTGATCTTGGGCAAGTTACCTAATTGATTTTTCTGAGCCTCAGTCTCCTCATGTATGAAATGAGAACAAGTACCTTGCAAAGTTTTTGAGAGTATTAAATGAGATAATGCATAGAAAGTGGTTTTGCACAAAGCCTGGCATATAATAAACATGCAAATTAACCACATTTTAATGAGATAATGTACAATTTTTAGTACAAAGCTGGCTTAATCAATAGCTGCTACTTACCCTTGCGGCCAGGACTGTAATGTTTTCTATTGCCCAAAGCACTACCAATGCGTGAGTGGGTGGGGAAAAACATGGGCACACACCAATAAACTGGCTGTTTCATCAGCTTTGCAGACACACTCAGCCACACATGCCTTCAGGTGTATACTTCTCTCTAATCTTAAATCCTAACTAGAAGCCCAGGACTACTGAGGTCCAAAAGGGGAAGGACCAGATTCAAATGAGAGAAGTAACTTCCTGGGTTGTGGCTGTGCAGCTAATACAGAAAAAGAACAGAGTCAGCATAGAAAAGGGTTTAAGAAAATGGACTCGGGCCAGACTGCCTAGATTTGAGCCCTGACTACATCCCTTATCAGCTCTATGATCCTGGGCAAGTTACTTAACCTCATTTTCTTCCTGGATGTTAAAAAAAGGGGCGAGAGGGCAGAGGTTACATAATAACAATGCTTACCTCATAGAGTTAATGAGAAGTAAATAAGTTAATATCTGGAAAGTGCTTTGAACAGTGCCTGGCTGGCACATAAGTGCTATTTAAATACTCAAAAAAAACCAACCCCAACAGATGACAAGAGCCTTTACACTATGTGAATCAGACTGAGGCTCTGGCATATTATAAAACTATCCTTGCTCATCGTTTACAATGTCTCCAGTAGAGAATAACACATGTCGGAAAATACACACATTCCTTGATATCCGACTCTATTCTTATCCTAAAATGCGGAGAGGAAGAGTTCAGCGGGGCACCGGTAGTAGGGCAGAGTGGCTGAGGAGCTCAGGTACAGACGAAGGGGTTGGGGGTGGGGCAAGGAGGCTGACTTGTACTTAAAAGGCCCTTCTAGATTCCGGGGCAGCCTCCTCTGCCCCTCACCTGTCCGGCCAAGCTCTGGCCAAGAAGCCCCCGTTGCCTCCTCCCCACACCCAGTCCGGGGTCGCAGCACACAGACCGGCCCTTTCGGAGGCCCTCGACGGCATCCCGACTCCGACGCTCACCGGGCATCCACGGGAGGAGAGGCCACCCAGCCCAGAACGCACCACCTCTGAGTCCTTGACAATCTCAGCCCAAAGACAAACTACAAAGGCCGGAAGTGCGTCACACCCGCTGATCTCCAGGATAACAGCTGTTCCCCGCGTTCCTTCTAGGAAGCCCGGGGGTTTCCACACCTCTGTGGTCTCCTCGCTGAATCCCCCTCTAGGCGTTAGGGAGGCGCTAGGTGGCATATTCTCTTCCAGGGGGCCAATATAATAACAACTAACATACTGTTTTACACAGCACTGTGAGTTAGGGATGGTACAGTTATCCCATTTAACACATGAGGAAATTGAGGCACTTTCCTTCAGCCACATTTATTAGTTGATATTTCCTGCAAAGAAACAGTTTTTGTGCACTTTACTTTCTCGAACAAGGTATTCCAGGCTCATTTTACACTTTCCCTGCCCTAGACCTGGAATCCACCATTGTTCCCTGAAGCTATAGTTCCTTTTACTGGAGAATGATATATAGAAGCCAAGATCTGGGTTTGGGGCAATAGATAGGCTCAGGGCTACTGGGATGTAACATTGCTTCTAGGCCCTATCAGTGGACCTAAGAGCTGGAATATATGTATGATCAGGATTTTATAGGATATCTCCAACTCAAATACAACTCCACAGAATTTTTTTCATTTTCACTATTGTACATGTGTTTTTCCTTTCTCCCGCAGTGAAAACTCTGGTTCCCAACAGCATCAATATGTTTACTCAATGTTTTCTATCTTACAATAATAACAAAATACTTTCAGAATTGTAATAACTATCACCAGCAACACACCTACTATATAGAGTTCAAAAGTTCTTTGCTTTATTTTTTCTTGAATTGTATCCCTTAAAGGAGTCTGGTCAGAGTACTGCATACATACCTTATTTGAATTCTTTCTCTGTATAGTTATGTTACAAACTTGATATACAGTTAAGATCATTTGTTTCTGATTGTATTCAATTTCAAGGTTTGCTTTCCTTTCATCCCTTTTCATTTCCTTTCTGAACATGCAAAACACTTACTTCAAAATCAAAATTATATAAAAAAGGTATATTCACAGTTTCGCTTCCGTCTCTAGTCCCTTTACCTCATATATACTCATGCCCCATTTTCATTAGTTTTTAATTTATCCTGTCCTTCCTCCCTCTCTCCTTCCCTCCTCTCTTCCCTTCTCTACTTTCTTTCTTTTGCAAAAATAAGCATTTACCCCCCCTTACCTCTATAAATTTTCATATTATATATACTCTTTTTCACCTTGCTGTATCATTTAACAGAATAACCTGGAAATTATTCTAAATCTGTCCAGAGAAATATCGCTTTTTCTTTTCTTTTTACAGAGGCATAGTACTTCATTGTGTGGATGAACCATAATTTTTTTTCAACCTGTATCTTCCGAATGGGTATTTGGATTGTTTCCAATATTTTGCTTTAACAAATACTGCTGCAATGAACAGTGAAGAGAGAGAAGAGAGGAGGGAGAAAGAGAGGTGTCTTTGTAAGGGTTGCATCATTTTGCACTTTCAACAGCAGTGTGTGAAAGTGCCTGTTTTCACACAGCCTCCCCAGCTGTATGTTTTCAGGCTTTTGAATTTTGCCAATATAATAGGCCATTAGGTATTTCTTAAGGAATCACAAACTTGATGCCGAAATCTCTGGTAAAAATGGATTCGCAGTGCCAAATGTTGGCCAGTATTATGGAGCAATGGGAATTTTCATACACTGTTGATGAGAGTGTAAATTGGTAACACTGCTTTTGGGAAACTCTGGTCCATCTACCAAAGTTGAACATATGCATATTGTGTGACCTAGGAGTTTCACTTCTAGTTATATAGCCATCAGAAATATATATATGTTTGCATCTAAAGACATGTCGTAGCAGCATTTTTTGGTGATAGCTTTAAACTGGAAAAAACCCACATATCCATTAACAGTAGGATGGATACAAAAATTGAAGCTTATTCATACAACGGAAAACTAGGCAACAATGAAAATGAAAGAACTACGGCTACAAACCACAGTGATAAATTTCACAAACATAATAGTGAATGAAAGAAGCTAGACACCAAAAGATACACACTGCATGATTCCATTTATGTAAAGTTCAAACAGGGAAAACTAATATCTGTTGTTAGAAGTCAAAACAGGAAGAAAGGAATAGTTTGGGAGGAGCACAAGTGGGGTCTTCTGGGGACCTGGTAATGTTATACTTCTTGACTTTGGTGGTGGTGATGTAGGTAGTTTCACTTTGTGAATTTCATTTAGCTGTACACCTATGATTTGTGTACTCATTTATATATGTATATTATATTTCAATAAAAAGATTTTTTAAAATTCAGACCATTTTACAGTTGAAGAAACCAAGGTTCAGAGCATTGAAGTGTGTTGCGTAGGTCAGCAGAACCAGGACTCAAACCCAGGTTTCCTGATCAGCCAGCTCCCTTGGCTCTGAGTGATCAGTTCACTAGGGATCCTCACATATGGGTCTTAAAGGGGCCATTTCTTTGGTTGTAAGTTTAACACAGTGTCCATTAGACAAAAATGCAGTTGTTAGTGATGCTTAAATATATATGTATGATAATCCTCTTACTCAGCTATTATACCTTATGTGACATGTATCTCAAATAGAGATAGAGGTGGCTCTCTCTATATATATTTTAAAGGCTAAAGTGACCTAAAATTATTATACAAACCATACAGTGATAACTATGATATATAGAAATATGGAGTGTATTTTTTTTAAATAAGGGTGTTTGATAAAAGTAGAACAGAGCAGAAAAATTCTAAATACACTTAATAAAAATTATGTAAAATTAGCTATCTCTTTATGTCTATCAATCTCTCTAAATAGACAATGTAAAGAAATGAAAATAATTCTTAAATTAGGAAAGTAGGATTCTAGAAGAATTTTTTTTAATCCTTCGATAACCATTTAAAAATGGATTTAAACTATTTTTTTCACAAGGCTTTTTAATATTCTTATTACTGAAGGAAGGTTGGTGAGTTTAAGGATCCTCCAACTCACGAGTCTCATCGATTCTCATTCCCCACTTTCCTCTTTTCCTTCTCTTGCTCTATTCCTCCCCTCTTAACATCCACTAGAACACCACTGTATCTCCTGGTTCTAATTTTGTTCCTTGCACCCTTTTATCATTCATTCATTCATTCATTCATCTGTTTATTGATCTTTCAGCATACATTTATTAAGAGTTGGTACCTGCACTTTAGAACTCAAAATGCCATGCCTTTATTTGGGGCTATTGTTTGGTTACTAAATAAGTATTTTCTCCTTTTTATTAGACAACAGAACTCCAATTTTTATCTATGTGCACTGGCACCTGGTATAAAGATTACATTTCTCAGCTACTCTCGCAGCTGAGTGTGGTCATTATGTGACTGAATTTTTGCTAATTAGGTATTAGAAGAAATGTGTGTATTCTGAGATGGCTCCATGAAAGATGCTGACTTATCTGGAAGTCCCGTTTTTGCCCTTCCTGCTGACTGGAATGCAGAATTGATGGCTTGTGCTTCAGCAGCCATGGGAAAAAAAGTGGCATGTGGAGGATGGTGACAAGGTGAAAGGGACCCAGATCCCTGATGATTCCATGAAGTAAAAGCAACAACCCTAAACTATCTACCTTTAGACTTCTTTTACATGAGAGGAATACATCTTGTGTATTTTTCAGATCTTTGTCACCAGCACCTGATCATAAATTCTGATATAGGGTGTTTGTACCTTGACTCCCTATATTGGGTTTTCTTCTCCTTTTTTTTCTTAAATGTGATCTCATCATCTCTGATTGAACCCACTATCTCTGCTCCTCCCCCCGAATACTGATATTTAAGAAACACAAGTTTGGAGGGAGAGCAGATAATTAGAAGGAAATGATGTCTATGTTGATAGAAGTAATGTAAATAGAAAAAAAAGGGAAGTGAGATTCCCAAGAGATAAAAGAAAAAAGAGAATAGAAGGGAGAAAAAGTGCAGAAAAAAGGTAAGAAAGAACAGGCAAGAATGGCATTGCATTAGGTGATTCACCAAACATTCAGTAAATTATAATGTCCAAAATACCACAATGTCGTCCCAGAGTCTTAAGTGTCCATAGCTTGATTACCCTTCAGGGTTGTCATGTTTGGAGGTTTAAGCTCTCCCTTAGAAACCTGGGGGGAATTCGAGGTCTGTCCACTTATAAGTACACTGGCTCACATATCAAAATGATATCTCTATTATTAACAGATAGTAATATATCAGACTCCACAGAAATGACATCCAATACCTTCGTTGTCATTCTGAATGAAAAAAATCAACTTTTATGTAGGAGGCATGCCAAGGGAGAGTATTTCTCTGGTTTACCTAGTCTACCCATCCTAAGATATACTCTTGTCCACTAATGGCTTTCCCTGCTTTGAGCCCTGCTACCTATCTTCTAATCCAGTGACATTTCTAGGATATCTTTTGATTTGAATCACTCTCCACCCTCTTCAGGTCCAAACCATTTTATTTTTACCCTCCAGATCCAACCCATTTTATTTTTCTCTGCACTAACATAAAATAAAGGTACCTAAACAAGGAGCACTTCCTCCTAGGACCATCCTACCTGGATATGTAGTGCACAGTTGCATCAGGAATTTATAGAGTACCATTGGAAAGGAGTTTCCTCTGACTCCCATTGCAGTCTGGTGTCTGCTGGATCAGCATCACAGCCTTTTTCTTAGGTAAGGTGACCAATGCCTCTTTGAGCACCAGTTTTTTCCCAGTATTCCAGAAAGAGATTGTCCTTCTCTTCCCCAAGGAGCAATATTTTAGAAGGTAAACCCAATTGTTACAAAGTTAACTGAAAGCACACAGGAAAACCTTCCAGAGCTTTTAAGGGTAGGTACCCAACAGGGTCAGTGGTATTTTTTTTTTTTTTTTTGGTGAGGAAGATTAGCCCTATGCTAACATCCATTGCCAATCCTCCTCTTTTTGCTGAGGAAGATTGGCCCTGGGCTAACACCCGTGCCCATCTTCCTCTACTTTATATGCGGGACACCTGCCATAGCATGGCTTGATTAGTGGTGTGTAGGTCCGTG